CGCACGCAGTCGACTCACTGTCGAACATTTTACTTTTGGCATTTTTATATTAAATTATCGAAAAAAATTAACTAGAGTAATAAAACGGTGTTAACGACGGCAAAACTCGTACTGAACGTCGAACGATATAATATCATCGGACRTCGATTTTACYGATTTAAGATTATTTAACAGGAAATGCGGGTAGAGGTTACTCAAACCTTGTCCGATAAATATAATACAAATTAGGAGTACCTACTTATAATCTGTTATATTTATTTAAAAACCATGTTTGTGTAAAAATCTTAAAATCTTAAAATAAAATTTCAAATTCATACACTTGATTTCCAAAAACTCAAAAAATGCTCCAAAAACTCTAAAATGACCTAAAAAYTAAAAAATGCAAAATAAACTTTCTTATTCTYATTCAAATSTACATAAAACAAATTTGTGACAAGACGAGCATTGCACAGTAAGCTTTGAAAAACAATGCAAAGTGCATCGAAATCCCAGCCCTACAGTTATAACTATAAGTTTCTCCTTACTGGAAGATTTTCTCAATATTGTCTTGAAAATTAACTTTCATGTATTAGAAGTGTTCAACATATTCCAAATTCTTTACATTTTAAGAGTAATTTGAAACTTGTTTGTGTAGCCCAATTTCTAAAAAATGTACCCAACAGTAGCAACGACCAAGATGACAGAAAAATTCTTGGTGATGAATTAGATTTTTCATAAGTTAAGCCAACACTATCAGAATCACCTGATGAAGAACCTGAACTATGTGATGGCTTAAATGATTCTACAATTATTGTTCTACAAAATAATGAACAAAACTGTTTGTACAATATAGCAGGTATATTAATGTTATGACACATTATTTAATTTTTTTAAAGCACAATTTCACTCAAAGTATAACAAAAAATCTTAATTTCAAATATTCGACTTAGGTACTCGTCTTTCTGACAATGGCTTACTTTTTTATCACTATTTTAGGARATTACTCACATTTAATCAATGCAACGATTAAAACTATTGGTAAAAATATAAAACTTTGTTGACATTTTTTTAATAGAAATTATTCTAAAATACTAGTTAAAAATAATTATTTATTGCACTACTCATGTATGGAAAATTGTTGGTTTTTATACCTTATTCTTACGTAATAAAATATTCAACATAAAATATGTTCATTTTGTTAGTTATTTTTAACATTAACAATCTTATAGTTGGTTAAAAAATAATGGCTATTGCTAGTTAATAAATAAAATGTTTAAAATACCTATCAAGCATATTTTATTGGCATACATTACAAAAGTAATTTGACATCCGATCCGTCTTGA